TTACTGAGGACCATCTATGGTCTAGTGCCTTCAGGAAGGCAACTGAGGTCTAATGAAGGCTGCTTGCTTATCATCTGAGCATATGGAACTGGGTGCAGATCAGGAAAGTAGCCCTCAGCCCCTAGGGAGTGCCCCAGAGCTTTCCAGCAGAGTAGATGAAGGGAGGTTCTGGTAAAGAATGGAGACCACAGGGTCCTGAACCTGTATTTCCAGCAGATGACTGTAGTAAGATCTGACCTGGTGAGGGGGCCCTGGGCAGCAATCCTGTGATAAGCCCCACTGAGACATAAAGTAAATGATATATAAAACCATCTCTTGGATTTTCTCTGTATGATTTAAAAACAAACAAACAAAAAACTCTGGCCCTTTTTCCTTTCAAAAATTTAAAAGATTTATTCTTAAACTATTTATTTTTCTTGCTTTACTGATAAAACTGATAAAAGCATAAAATACGTTTATGAAGAGAGAAACAACCTATAATTAAGAATGGAATGTCCAGGCCCCAGTTCTAGAACTGTTATAATCTTAGTGGTCAACAGTAGAAGTCCACTCTCTGGCAGGTAAGCCCATGTTTATTCTCAAGTAATTCCTCTATGGCTACTGGATCACTACCATTATTATTGCTGACTTGGCTGTCCTTGAACTGTTTATGTAGACCAGGCTGTTTTCAAACTCACAGAGATTCACCTGTCTCTGGCTCCCAAGTGCTGGGATCAAAGGTGTGTACTACCATACCTGGTCACTCTGATCATTGCTTAATTCTTCCCAGATGTGATATTCAGTATGAAGGTCTTATGACTGTCTTCTCAGTGTATCTTCTAAGACATTTCCAAGACTGTTTTCTAAATATGCCTACTAATTCTACCAGGGAACCGAAAAAACGATCTACTTAACATCTTTAAAACTTGTTTGAGACAGAAAAAAAAAGTATAAAAATAAGATTTACATTCAACAATGTATAAAGTTAACATAATGGAATCATAAATCCTTTGAAGTTTACAGAATAAGGCCCTTTGGTAGTTGGTGCATACTGAACTGTAAAAATGGAGCTAAATGAATTTTTTTTCCTTTTTGGTTTTTCGAGACAGAGTTTCTCTATGTAGCCCTAGCTGTCCTGGGACTCACTCTGTAGACCAGGCTGTCCTCGAACTCAGAAATCCGCCTGCCTCTGCCTCCCAAGTGCTGGGATTAAAGGCGTGCGCCACCACCGCCCAGCGCTAAATGATTTTTTAAAAAAGATTTATTTATTTTATTTATATGAGTACACTGTAACTGTCTTCAGACATACCAGAAAAGGGCATGAATCCCATTATAGATGGTTGTGAGCTACAACATGGTACTAGGAAT